ACCCATAGGTAATGCATTAAATTCATATAAGTGACCACACCAGACAAACTTCAGATATTTCCTTTGTTCACTTGCAATCGGAATAGTATAATAAGCATGTTTTAAATCTAAAGAAGCAAAGTAGGCCCCTGTGGAAATCATGCTTATAACCGAATTTAACGTATCCATTTTGAAATGCCTAAAGAGAACCGCTTGATTACAAGTTTTAAAATTAAAAATGAGTCTAAATGACCCATCTCGTTTAGGGGTTACAAATATCTGGGCGATTGATTTGCGACCAGGCCTTCATATGAATTCGCCAAGGTTGTAAGCCAGTGAGCCGGTGCATTTTTGGAAAATGTAAATAAAGGAAAGGGAAAACCCGCAGCTCTCTTTTCACTCAGATAAACAGTACAAGTCGTGTTAAATTTATTTACATAACTAAACAAAATGATTATAGAATCAAACCTTTAAGAATTGAATGCTCATATGAAACATTTTCTACCTTAAATACACACGTGTTTTTCAGATGGGAATTTAGTCTTTCACTTTTTTCACGATGGAATTTTGTTTTGAGTCGTTTCGACATAAACAGTCGCTATCAAGACATTACACGAAAAACCCCAGTCATCGTTCTAGCTMTCGTTGTAAGGTCAAAGCTAGTAAATGTGTAACCGACCTGTTACATAACGTCAACCCGTTGTATCGTCGAGCATGCTTGCTCGACAAAGGATGAACTACGACAGTTGTTTGTACCAAATATAACAAACGCTTAACTCTATTGGAATACGTGGAGCTATAAGCTGCTCTAGCTCTTCCAGTGATGTTGTATATACCTCAAAGCTTAGAGGAAACAAGAGCTAAGAAAAAGGATTCGCAATGGTTCCTCCTAAGATACTTTGGACTTGAACGTCGTTTCAACGATCTTCTGAAGTCTTCGTGAAGTCGGCCATTGATTCGCATGTAATGGAGAACCCGCATAGAACACAGACCAATTATTTTAATCAGGGAGGGGAGTCTCTTGGTATTAAAGAAAAAATATTTGTTATTTCGTTTTTAAGATAAAATTCTATTTCTATAACGATAAATATTTGATTGACATTTAATAAAAGCTATTTTATAAAGATTTCGATTTCTCTTTGCGTTTTAGCTTTGATTTTTCGGATTGAATAAAATGGCAGGCAGCCTACTCCACTGGGTCGAGTTTTGCTGTTCAAATTCCTCCCGTCGGGGGGTTATGTTTACAACATAAGCTTGTCAGCTTTATGCTGATTGGCTAGTCGCATTTTCTCAAATCACCCAGATAGGGGATAAGCATTCACCCTGTTCATGACTTGAGGGACTAACCATCCCTAAACTAACTAGTTTGTTGACCTCCTCATTAATTATATTAGCTTGTTGAGAGTTAAAATTTCTCTGACCATGTGTACTAAATAAACATGGGTCCTTAATAAATTCGATATGGCAATGCCTTACAATATCTAAAATTTCTGGGTCATTAGTTAGTTTTACCCACTCAGAAAAGCACCGACTCGTTCTCCCAGCAAAAAAGGGTTGCTGGCAATTAACAATTTGTAATAAATTTGCATTAACATACCAATTAGTTGGCTTAGCTTGCTTCTTATTATCAGCTTGTTGGTAACTACTAGACGTGTAAGTCGACGTACGACTTCCTACTCTTCCTCTACCTCTGCGATATCCTCTCGAGTATNTTTGCTTTTCTGTAACTCAGCAATCTCCTTGACACGCTTTGTTGTATCTCCTCCAAAGAGGAATTCATCAGCAGGGTTAGTAGAGGAACATAGTCCCTTGGCAAATTCTGTCTTAAACTGTGGCTTGATTGCATCTCTACGACGCTGGTTTATCTCATAGTTGGCAGTCATAGCCAATGTTAGCCCATCCAAAGCGGGAGTCAATAAATCCTTTGAGGCTTTGGAATCAACCAACTTGTTTGTTACTTCTAATTGACAATTAATCGTGGCAAGAAGCATCTGTTGTGTTGCTTGTAACTTTGCATCATTTGCTCTAGTGTGAGTTGGTAATTGAGTCCAAATACTGTTCTCACATTTGGGTAAGCGAACTTTCACATTTTCTGGTGTATGATGACGTTTGATTATTGCCTTGCACTGCTCTGCACTTATTCTATGTAAACAAAGCTTGTTTACTACATTAGCAATGTCGTCACCAACCTTCGGTGCCTTGTGTTCAATATCCAAGTCCAACTGACTTGAATAACTGGCTAAAACATTCTCTTTCGCCGCCTCTCCAATGTCCTCAGCGTTGTTAGCCTTTGATATTTTGTCCAAATCATTTTGGATAGAGACGACCGAAGAGTAATCATCAATGGATTCGCTCTCTTCGTAATAAGGTTCCTCGTAAGGTTCCTCTTCGCGACCAGTCATGTAGTCGCTCAAATGCGCCATATTTTCATTTAGAAGTTTAATATTCGAGAGGATAGCTCGATTAACATCTTCCTCAGTCCCTGCTGAGGGATTAACATCCTCTTGGTCGCTCATAATCTATCAGAGAACCAAATAAATATCAATACATGCACTCGTAAATTCAACATGGCGGCGCCACGTGGTTCTCTGTGAATGCCTCTGCGAGGTCATTCGGGTGAATTTTTTGTAACATTTTACATAATGTGCCTCCAGCGGAGTACACTTCACCCATATCTTTCATTTAAACCTGAAAAGAAAAGTAAAACTTACCTTAAAACAGGGAAAATAGTCAGAACCGAGTTCGAGACGTCTACTCCCTTCGACAGTCTTGGTTCAATGATCTATGACGTCACTCCCGATAGGCTTTGTTCATTCTTCATGGCAGTCCGAAGGTTATGGTTTATGAGATAGAATTATTATTATTCAGGGATAACATACGAGCTCCATAACAAAAAGGGGCATCCCAATCAGATTGAGACCTAACCTGAATTTTTGTAAAACTGAATGTAGCTACTTGGCGTTATACATAAATAAAGCTCTGTATTGTTAGCATTAGAACAAATATTACATGACAGTAAAATTGTCTGTCATTATTTCAGTCAAATCGCAAACACATTTCTTTATATCTACCTCTCTGGGCTTTTCTCTGCATAGAGCCCCAATGTGTGTTAGCAAATGTTTGTCATTCTTGACAAGGTTTTCATTCACATAGAATGGAGCAACACTCTCTAGAAACAACTGCTTGATTTCTTCTTAAGAGGGCCCTCCGACTTCACAACTGAGCTGTGGCAAAAAAACATGAAATATGTATTTCACTCTACCACTTATTTAAATTTATAATTTTGGAAATTTATTTATTTTGCAACTCGTGTATGGTGCTGGACTAGTATGTTTGTTTATCCCTTTTCCCTTTTTCGTCCTGGCACATCATGGCATTTCAAAAGAAATTTTATTTCAAAATTTATATTTACCAAAGTCGTAAAGCCAATGACTTCAGCGTAATTCACTGACTCCCTCGTCCCCAATTGCACCCATGACAAATTCCACAAGGTCATTGTATATGTGTTTTTTGCTTGATTCTGTACTATAGGCCTCGCCCAACTTAATTATTGTTCCAATTCCTTGTTCAGCGTTTTCCATTTTATTCACAAGTGTCTGCTCCGCGTCCATCCTAGCCATTCCCCGCAAAGGGGAATTGATCCGATGGAAGGGAATAACAGCAAGTCTTGAAACAACCCTTATCAAAAAATAAAATTTTAAATTAATATCCAGAGCTTTCATAATTTCATGATAATTTTCGTTGTGCATTTGAAACAGAAACACTATCCAGGCTTGTACTTATACAGTTCATGGCAAAAATCTGAAATCCAAAAATTGAGCCTAAGGTATATCCATTAGGACTAAATTAAATTTAAGCCTAATTGACTTATTTTGAAATTTATTTTTGTCATCTCATAGCCAATTTCAATTCATAATTATATCTATATGATATGCATACTTCGGACAGATAAACATTATTATTGATATTATGCCCCCCCTCCCACATTCACACACCTATCAAAAATTGTTGAGTCACAATGACCGGTGCACTCTTTGGGATTTTCCTTCCCGAACCGAGGTTCACATATCCGCCCTAAAGACAAATTAAATAAATTAATACCGTTAATGCATATAATCGTTATCTGTGTATTCTGTGAGCTGTATGTGAAGGTCTGTTGCCTCAAAAACATTAATAGTTCCTATTGATGTTTAGACTATAAAACCAACCTGATTGTATGTTGCAATCACAACCTCCTCAACTGTTTTATCGTCTTTTATGTCGTCCAGGCAAAATTCCATTAGCTTGTTCCATTGCAGCAGGTAATGAGAAAGCTGCATATTGTAAAAACGTTATTGAATATCTAGTGACGCAGACAAGGAGGATAAATGCCGATATACCCTTTATCAGAAACATATATAGCTAGCACAGAATTTTATTGCCATAATATTAATTGATGTCACTTACTGCTTCCTGTGTCCCATAGTTTGGAACCAACTAATGCCGCGGCACAATTGAGTGCTGTGGTCTTTCCGCACTTTGTTGGCCCAACGGCAATTACCATAGGGCATGCTTTTCTGTACTTAATAATCAGTTCATAATGAACAGCCATTGCCATGTCTCCCATCACCATCATGGAGGCCAGGTAATTGCTTGAAAGCAGTACTTTCATGGCCTCCCATAGGTCTCTAATGGCAGAAATTCCATTCAAAGGGTTGACAGCCTTAATGGTTATGGGCATATCCACTTTGGCTGTCATTGTTTCTTCGTAAATAAATTTCTGCCTTTCGACAGGAATTGGGACACCGTATCTGTCTATCTGCAGGTCTTTGTTGATGACCCAAACATCTGAATTTGGCTGTCTTCCGACACACTGCAAAAAAAATTTCAAATTCATGTTTTAGCATTAGTGTTTTTTTTGAGGTGTGACTTTTCAGACTTTTACACAATATAGATGACATGCCAATGTTAAGGACAATGATAGAGCGACTTGATTGAACTAGAATGCACTTACAGTCACAGGACGATACTCCATTACTGGGTCTGCTGTGGATTTATACTCGTATATCTTCTCTTGGAAAAATATAGGAAGGTCTATATCCAACCTATGATCTTTCGTTGGTATCCATAGTCCAAGGTTCAAGGTTCAAGGTTCAATTTATTTTTTGCAAAACAGTTTTACAATTTGTTAAATTGGATAAAATACAAGTTAATTTAAATTATATAAATATAATTATTAAATAACAACGAGGTCTATAGTATTTAAAATGAATATAAAAATTTATAAATAATGCTGGAGAGCTGAAGAAACTAAAAGTTTTCGAAGCCAGCTCCCAAAATCAAATGTTAAATACACATATACCGCAAAAAAGAAAAAAAGAAAAATATAAGTCATTATCAAATCCGATTTAATTTGTGTTTTAAATGATATCCTAGGTAATACTTTAATATCATTATGGATTGAATTCCAAACTCCTGGTCCAGAGAACTTTAGTGAAAATTTACCGTAGTTTGTGCCAACAGAAGGTGTGTGAAAATTGTTTGATGCCAGTCGAGTGTTATAGGAATGGATCTCAGATACTTTATTAAAATAGTTCATGAAAGATGAAGGCAAGAGATTATTGGTATAGTCATACATAAAAAGTGCTTTCTGCTTTCTTTTCATTTTCACGCCGGGCACGAACGCACGTCAAATGACCCATTTCGACATTCCTTGAGTACAGCGGTTTTCCCTGTGAGTCTACGAATCACTACAAACAGAATGGCGGTCTTTTTCAATACGGAGGAGGTGTTAGAGCAGGTTCTGAGGTCTGAAGACGATTTTGCTAGCGAGGAAGAGGTAGTTTTAGATGAGGAAGACAGCGAAAAAGATAAAATCAGAGAGTTTTTAGGAAGTTACGAGGGTGGAAAGGAATTCGACCGCGAGTTCTTTGTAGAGAAGGCGACAGAAGTCATTTTACCGATTGTAAAAGCTTCTAGAACAAGAACTGATGGTAAGTTGGATATTTCTTTACAAGTATTTGATCTTATAAATACATATCTTCAACCATTTCTGCATGGGAGGAATTAGAGGAATGAAGGAGGTCATTTCTTGATATCAGTTTTTTGAATTAATAAGGCAATAGCCTTTTCATTTTTCAAATGTCTAGAAATCCCTTCATTTGATAAAAAAAGTATTTTATTCAATGTACTGCATGCATTACACTAATTGACATAACAAAAGGGTTTATTTACTACATGATAGAGCTTATGCTAGCATGCTTATTTTTGTCAACATGGAAAAATCATGCCTGTATGTATTTTAATACATTTAAAAATGTAATTATTTATTGAAAATCWWTTAAATATATTGGTAGAAGTGTGTAACTAAATTCATGCTTTGAATTTGCTTATTAGCCGATTGTCTGTGTACATCAACAATATCTGCTGCATCAGTACTGAATGTAGAGGGAAAACTCTGGCTAAAATCAATACACCGACGATTAGGAGGCAGAGTGTCAGTTAAAAAGCCATATTTTGCTGAGGTACAACGAAATATTCCACAGAATATTTTTGATGAAGTAACTCTCATGTTGAGAAGGAGTCTATCCCAGCATTTCCAGGAGCCATACTGTATTATTGGCAAAAACCGCAAGGGTGTGGTTGTTTCTTTCACCAACCTGAGATCAATACTAAAGTTTTTTGAGTTGCTCACTAGTATTGGTACAGGTGAGGTGAGGAAATTGTTTACTCGCTCTGTCAAAAGTGGATCTAGGTATGGACATAAAGTGAAACTTTTAGTTTCAGACAACAAGGACTTTGCCTTTGTTYATAAATAYAGTACTGGTCAGTTATCAATTCAATTCCACTATGGTGAATGGAATACATGTGGAGCTCCATGTCATCCAAATCCTGAAAATGATTAAATTCTCAAAACTCTAACAAGAGTATTATTGTGAGTACATTTTGCATCTCTGTGTATTTGTAATGCAAATATGTTATTTTGAATATTGAGTAAATTCTAACTGAAACACATGGAGTTGAAGTCTACTTTTATTGACTGAATAGTATTACAGAATCCAGAGTTTGAAATAAATAATTTATAATATTCATTGTAAAT